GCCAGGCAGACCACGATCACATCCCCTGCGTGCAAGGGCAGCGCTGGGAGCCGGCCGCAGTCGGGCAGCTCCGCAGGATCACCTCCTCGCCGCGGACACGGCCCCGCCGCTCATCCATCACACCACCCGCCTCTGACAGGTCGGTGGACAGGCTTCTCCAGGGGTCACTCGGAGCACAGCAAAAATGCTTTGCATTCCCCACTTCAATCACTGGTTTTGCACAGCGCACAGCCCCAGTTTGCCCCAGAGCCGGGGTGTCAGTCTGACATCCACCCAGGCTGGACGTGACTCTTTCCAAGCACGGGTCTCAGGCACAGGACCGAGACCCAAGCCACGCTTTGTGGCTGCCAGCTGCTTCCAGCAATATTCAGTGTCAAGGCCTGTGCCAAGGACCTGCGGGTCGCTTGCAGAGGCATTTCTCACCTCCGCCAGCTGCAGGCAGCACAGGGTCTGCTCTGCTCCCAGGTGCCCGCGCCTGCCCGCTGGCGGGAATCAGAATCGGTTCTGACAACCTCAATACGAGAGGGACTGTGCGATAATAGTTCAAACTGAACTACTTTACACAAAAATAATTTAAAAAAAAACAATCAAGAAAATCTTCCTTCACATTCACTTGCGGTTTTCCTTGCAGAAATAATAAAGTTCGGCAGAACTTGCACAGCATCTCTGCATTTTCAAGATGCTTTATTACACATCCATCTTCACATTGTGCAGTGGTTTCTTGCATCTCTTAAAATATTTGCTTGCCATCAGCTTCCCAGTGTCACGCATTTGTGAAGTTTTATTGCTGAGGTGCAATGACAGGCACACAGAGACAGCTGGATTGTGACCCTCTGGATGGGGCACCCTTCCTAGCTCCCACCAAAGAGTTTGGCTGGCACAGCAGATCTCAAAAGCAGGCCTTACTGGTGATGCTTCGTAGATGCTCTGAGGACAAGAAGCACATCAGGTTTGTCTCTCCAGAAGCCAGTTCAAAGCTGCTTAGACCTCACCCTGCACAGCTGTGCTCAAGGCATCACAGCCCCAAGCACCACAGTCTGCCCTACACTTCACTTCTCATTTAAGGAGCTAACAGCTTCCTGATAGCCTGTAACACCATGGGCGCAGGGGGCTGCTGAGAAGACCTGACTCTACCTTGACCAAAAGAGGTGCTACCAGAAGTGGTGTCAGCACAGTCAGTCCCTGGCATGACCCGGGATCTCTATGTGCATGCATAGAGGATGAGGGGACTGCTTTCAAGCCATTCCCGGACAGCCTTGGCTCTTTGGCCCCTGTTAGCATCTCCTGGCCCCTTCCTTTGCTGCAAGGCCACCCAGGTGCCCAGCCTCACTCTTAAGCTGTACAACCCACTCCCAGCTCCTAAGGGCAACAGCTCCGAGTAAAAATAATTTAAAATCCCTAACATACATAAATAGGGACTTGAAGGGACTTGGGTTAATCAGGCCTAGTCCCTCATCTCACACACAATTGTATCTGATGAGGAGTCTCAGGCTGAAGCTCCAGGGGCTGGTAGCGAAGAGCTCCTAGAAGCTCCTAGATCTCCAGAAGGCAGGTGAAGCTCCTGGAGCTCCGCCCTACAGACAGACAGAGACCTTCCTCCTTCTAGCTCAAAGGTATTCATGGATACCTGAGATCCATTTGGTCTTTTACTGTTCAGTACCTTTAGTTCAAGCTAAATCCTCTTTCTGTTGAATACCTACCATCTATCATTTCATTTCTAAGTCTTTATTTTGTGAGGCTGAATGGGCCAAACCCTTAGTCCCTTCACATCAGGATAGGCAGAACCAGCCGAAGAGCTTTTTACATGTCCTAGTTTTAATCCAAATCAAACCTTCTCCGAATTTGGGTGATATTTAGCTACACCTCTTTCAGACAGGGAAAAGATCATCCAGGTTTCCTCAAAATGGCAATTAACAAGGCCAGCCCCGAGGCTCATTCCTTGTAACTGTGTATAGCCCGTGAGTTTATCACCCTGACTCCTGTTGCAGATGCTGTTGTTGATGTTACGTATAGGGAGCGCCTTCCCATTTATCTCATTTATAACCCATATTGCGCGACCTGGACGAAACGAACCATCCGGAAAGCAGAGAGTTAGTGACAGCCTGTCTCCTTCACCTGTCTGCATCTGCTCACTGTTGTGCTCCTGCTAAGAAAATTGTCAATGGGCAAACTGAAACTGGACCATCTACTTGGCTGTTGGATTACTCAAGCCAACAATCTTCCACATCGGAGCAGCTGGAAATCACCCTGACATGTCCCTGCAACGCTTTAAGGCACATCAATAAGAGCAAGGAGCACAGGTTGGCTGCTGGAGCACGGGCTCCCTTCTCCACATGCCTCACCCAAAACGTAGCTTGCTGGCACCTTGTGCTTCTTCTCACTCACCCTGGGCCAGAACGTTAAGCCGCAGAATGTCAAGCGCAGCAGCTCATGCTGAGACATGGGGAAACGCAGCTGTATGGCCAGAGTGGCCTTGTCCCTGCAGCCTCGTTTCCTTACACTGTTGTTGGAAGTGAAAACTGTCCTGGTACACTGAGCCAGGCGGGC